AAAGTATTTCGACGAATCGTGAAATTATTAGAATGTTACAAATAGGGTTCACATGGGCATGTTAATTTGTTAGGCACGTACGATATGTTTCCGTTTAACAAGTTAAAAGTTGCCGTGGGTCCGTACCATTTTTTGATATTATTTCTACGAATCGTGAAATTTTATCAATATGTTACGAAGGCTAGCATTTTCGGATTTGCTACACGAATCGTTGAACAAACCAAAAGTGCTTAGCAATATTCTCCGATCTATTTCTACGAATCGTGAAATTAATCGGAAATATTCTGCATCGGAAGTGTGAAGTATAGTTATATAAAGTGTTGAAAGCCCTTTATATCTCTATTGCATTCACTGAGTTAATTGATCTTATTTAGTACTTTTATACTAATTTTCCTTTTTTTTTTTATAGATCAGCAAAAATATTTATGCAAGACTCTTCGAACAAAAGAAAAAAAGAAATTAAAAATGAGAATGGAAAGCAGAATCTATCGTACCAAGATCTTAATCCTCGCGTATTTATGGACGACTTATTAATGTTGAATTAAAAATGAAAATGGAAAGACGACGAGTTCATCACACCAAGATATTGATTTTACGTATCTACAAACGGCCTTTATCAAGCAATTTCTGTTGGACGAATTGATGAAGATAAGACTATGATTCTTTTTCTTTCATAATTTAATTCATGTGAGATTAATTTTTTGTTTGCATAATTTATTATATTTACTCACGTTTTCTAATTATTTTTCTGACGTTATCCGGCATTACTCAACAAAGGCATTAACCACCCGGCGGTACTCAATGGGTCTTACGAACGAAACTGATCGAAAGCATTACCGGCATTAGATTCCATGTAATGTAAAGCTAAAGCAAATTTTACATTAGCTTGTTGATTTTCGTATTATCTGTTTTTTTTTTTTTTTTTACGGTGAACTAACGGCTATATAGCATATTCAGAAATCGTTATAAAAAGCTCGTCAATATTTTTATTGGCCGTCAATCGTCTGAAGTCTTATTAATTATTGAAGGTGTTGTCAAATGAATATATGAAATATTTTGCCATTACGAAAACAGCTTCATGAAAGTATTATTAAAGCAGTGTTAAGTGTATCAGTTCTCTTTTTAGATATGCAGTATTAAAAAGATACGTTCGATACTAACTGAATCAACAATTACTATTTGAACAAAAGAAAAAATTCACAGAATCAACTTATTGATATTCTTTAGTAAAGAACAATGGTTACAACGAAGAAAGTATATGTAGCTAGACGACTATTTATTATATAAGGATATGAGAAAAGATTTCCAATAACAGATAAGCTAAAGATGGATTAACCACAGTGCAAATCTCCGTTTCATTTAAATTTATAATTTTAATTGCGTAATCTAATGATATTTTTTTGAATATTTACTAATCTATTGACTATTATGTTCACAGTAGCTCCGAAACCCAACAATACTATTATTAATTATAGTGTAACGTTTTGTTCTATGGTTAGATCTCACAGGCTGGTTTCTTGGACTTGAAACAAAAATTTTCGTCAAGTTCAGCCTTTGGTTTGTCCGTCCGATTGTGATATTTAATTGAATGTTCATAATATCATTCGCAATATCCTGAAAGTAAATCTATTAATCATTTATGGTTCACATTTATACCTATAGTTGCCCTGCAATACCCAAGTTTGCTGTTATTTTTATACGATTAGGTATGTTATAAATATCGGTATTAAAGTAAATGTTTGCCTCCAATTATTTATATAATATTTATATATATTATTTATATTTATTATTTTGACTATAATTATTAATAGGATCTTTCCTGCGTTTATGTAGCGTGCAAAAATACTGTTCCTGATGGATCGTCGATACTGATAGAAAAACAATTGACTAATGTATCGTCCCTGATAAGATTCTTAAAAGGACCTGATGTTTTTTCATGAGAATGCTAATGACTTGTGATTTAGCCATAACATTATTCTTGAAATTTACTAAACATTGATCCCTGATGTAAATAAGATGCCGGTGGTGAAAATTTACTTGACAGCCGAACTTAGTCGTCATATAGTAAGTTAATTCCAATTTCTCGGGGGTTTTTTTTTCGCTTAATTCGTATAATTATATCATGTCAAAATTTGTCTTTATTACCTCAGTAGTGTATAATTTTTTTAAAATCCTATTGGGGACGGTATCAGGAAAATATTTGACGATCCACCAAGAATATTTTTGTGGAGGAAGTGGTTGCCGTTTCAGATCTTATAGTAGCCTCCAAAATGTGAACAAGTAAATCGGCAAGTATATCGCTCAAGAGTCTTGCTCTCTTGCATCATACGAATAGCTCATTCGCTTATTCGAAAGAGGCGTTTAGATTTGACGAGTTGTATATCCGCAAGTGGTTATTCTTTCTGCGGCTTGATGCCTTTAATTCTCTAGTTCAAATCATTAAACATTAAATTTAACGAAAGTGTTTGGTGAAGTAATCTACCTTATAATTTAGGGACCTCAAAACTACCAAAGTACATTGACTAGCTAACAAAATCACGTGCGCGATATTAAAATGAACCATACGAAAAACTTCTGGTGAAACCATTGTGTTGAGAATAGTAAGTGGTTGAAGGGAATGCCAATAGTTTACTGGGAAGATGTGTTGTACGCTTTAGGTAATTAATGTAATGCTTAAATAGAAATTAATAAAAAGATGCAATTATGAAGAATTGATATCAATACGTATACCAATTTGCAAATTGAAACATTTCTTGTAGCCGTTGAGTATAGACTTTCAGCACCATATCAATTGAATCACAGTACATATAAGTTAGTTCATTTTAAGCGTGTCCAGATAATACATATGTCATGACATGTTGGCTGATAGTTATTGAATTTTGATTCCAATTGTAGCTGAACAACTAATTTCTTTTCAAAGTTGATTTTTTTTGTCTTTTAATGAATCAATTTTGAATCGTACAAAATTTACCTTCCAAGTTGTTTTTTAATCAATACAACCTTTAATCAAAATGTGCTATAAGGTTATGCTATCAATGGTTGATTGCGATTAGGAATGGATTAGGTTACGGTTACTGATACTAATCGATCAGATATTTTGACCGACAAGTTAAATTCCTAACCGATGTTACTAATTAATATGTTGTACGTGAAATTAGAATGAAAGTAGATTTAGAACAGAATTGGATCGGATTGAAATTAGATCAAAACAGTGACACCGATTACTATGATTTAAGTTCGAGCAAGTCATCAATTAACTTATGTAGATTGATATTATTTGTCAGTTATTCTCGCCCGGTTCAACTTTATTTGGTTCGTGGCTCTAGCGCTACGTAATACATATTTACGTATTTCTATGAAAGGGAATCGAGTGTACATACTGTATGTATACACAATATGCAATAATATTAATGTAACATAACGATAATAACTTTTCCCGTAATAAGGGAATACTCATGCAAAAGTAGTGCATCAATATAGTCTAGCAATCTTAATTCACCCTTCTTTTCCATTCTTGATTTATCATTATAACTCTTAAATATACCATAGATATAATTAGAAAATTGGATTTTAAAATAAATTTAAATTACAAATGGTAAGTTAATTTTCAAGAAATTAGAATCTCTTTACATCTATTATTTTATAACTGGATTTTTAAATAAAACAATATACGTAGTTGTAGACTATTTAATCTGAAGAAACCGATTACACATAAAATCCAATCTTAGGTTAAGAATCGATGATCAATCTCATCTACGTATTCTAAAAAAAAAAAGGATTAAGTGAATTGGTCAAACAGTTATTAAAATAAAATAAACTACGTATCGGTATATAGATTTTCAAACCTAATCGATTATTTTCATGTCGATATTCTGAAAATCGATTAATAATTCGATAATCAAAAGATATTTATTTAGTTACTCAGTTTGGTTATATTTATTGTTTATTGTTTTTAAATCGGCGCTGACACAAAATGTTAATATTACCTATCGAAAGTGGACACTCTACTTTATTGAAACAAAGCATTTCAAAAATAACTTTGATTCAATAAATTTCTTAAAGATAACTAACGTTAAATTCAGAGTACTTACGAAAGTTAAAAACCAAATTTAAGGTTAAATAAGGTTGGAACTGAATACATTCTAGTTTTTTAAAAAAAATCCACACGTCAAATTTTATAATTACATGACTCTGATCGAGAATCTCACGATATTTGCCGAAGAATTCAGCATATTGAAATACCTTCGGTAGGAATCGGTCATGGCTGAAATTAGATTGCGCATTTCTTTCCAAAGGTAATTTGGCATGTACTATTACACACTATAAAAAAAAACAGTTATCACTTACAGATATAAATGTTCGTGTAACTTAGTCAGCTATCTTAGACTCACCTCGTAAGGGGTGATTAGATAGTATATCAGATAATGATTAGATAGTGAGTCAGCTGGTCATTTATCAGATCATTATTACGCCGAATATTACAGTTATCGCATCGTACAACTTATTTTACAACTTATTTGTTATGGTAGTTTTATACTTATACGTACACGCATTATCTCAAAACTTCCCAAAATTTAAATATACCCATAATTCTAACCCTAACATGTAGAATTTCTAAAAGTGACATGTGTCTAATGGTCGGACATCTAAATTCCGATAGGTTTTTTTAGATAAATAAACATGACAAAAGTTTAACATTAAAACAGTGTAACATTTTAAATTATAGTCAGTGGTTATAACACGTTACACTGATGATTGGTGTGTACGTATATATTGTGCTGCTGCGCATACACTACAAATGTGCATTTTGATCAAATTTACTTTGCATAAATACATTTATCTTTTGTTTGTATAAATGCGGTATATAATGAATGATTGAACACTAAATGACACGTACGTACTTACATGTTATAAAGTAGTATAATTGATTGTTTGCCATACGATGATCACATTTATATAAACTTTTTATTTGCTTACTAACTTTTTTTAAAAATCAAAAAATGGGTTCAAATTATCTTCTTCCAAATTATCTTCGTGATAGTCATTTAGAAAAATGCAATAAAAAGACTTGTTCATGCATTTCTTTACCTACTCATTGGAATCCTAATGACTGTGGCCCTTGTATTGTAATAGTTGATGAAAAAAAATTAATCGTTAAACACTCCGGTCCGGGTACTGATCCAATAGAACCAGTTTCAATTCGTGCAAACAATCATATTCCACCCGAAGTCGGCTTGTATTACTTCGAGACAACAATTATAAATCGTGGTGATCGAGGGTAAATCATTTTTTCCATTATTAGAATAGCTAGTTATCTTACCTTTTCTTAAAGAATTTATATATATTTAAACTCTAAATTTATTTTTATTATTAGTTATATTGGAATTGGTCTTAGTAAACCCGGAACTCCTCTTGATAAAATGCCAGGTTTGTCCTAAATTTCATAATTATACTCTGATTCTTTTAATTGTATATTTTATAGAATTTATAAAAAAAATCCGTGTAGGATGGGTTCTAGACACAATTGGATATCATGGTGATAATGGTCGTTTATATCGTGAACGTGAAAGAGGTGTAAATTTTGGTCCTCTTTACACTACCGGTGAGACTGTTGGTTGTGGAATTAATTTTTTTGATACCGAAATTTTTTTCACAAAAAATGGTATTCTATTAGGTAAAGAGTTATCATTTAAACTTGAAAAAAAAATTTATCCTACATGTGGTATGGCAAGTCCAAATGAAAGTATATTAGTAAATTTTGGTTCTGAACCTTTTAAATTCCCTATTGATCTCTACGCAAAGGTTTGAATTTTTCTTTGTAATATGAAATAATCTAAATCTTATCTAATCGAAATTTATTCTTAAATTACAGAGAATTTTTTCTAAAGCTAAAAAATACAAAATGGAGATACTAGAATAATAAAAATTCAATATTTTATTTTTTTATCATAGATGCATTATTGTCTTTAGTATTAAGATAATTGTACAGATGTTATAACTATCACTATTTAATATTTAATATTTAATATTGAATAGTGCAAAATATTGTAAATATCATGAATGCTTATCTTTAGTCTGTATTTTAGCCAAATTTTTCTGGTGAATTAAAAAGTATTTAGTGTATTTTTTAAATAAAACAATAAATTATTAATCATACTAAATATCATTTTACTCGATGATCAGCATAAGAAGTCTATTCAATTAAAACGCATCAGTTATCATAAAAATGCACCTATGGTGTTTATGTTTGGATTTTTTTGCAAAAATTTAGGGTTAGTATGCAACTACAGACTTAAGATAGATCGGATATAAAGGTCCAAATTTAGGTTAGTATAAGGTTTTTGGGGTTCTGACCATTTTTACTTGTCTTAGTTAATTAGACAGTTTTTGCGATATAGTAACTATGATGTTAGACGTGTAGAAACGTATTTACCAAGAGAGATAATTTACTATATAACAAAATATATTTGCAACTAACCAAGATGCTTATTCTAACCCGAAGTGATGCCAGATGGCCCGTAGAAAACATCATCTAGGAAAATAAATAACTACCAAATATATGTAATTAGTGATTTTGGCCGATAATTAAAAAATCGGATAAGGCAAATTATCGGCTTAGACGGTCGATTTTTTTAAAATCGGCTAATCGGTTTGGTGTAAATTCCGAAAAATTCCAGATTAAAGAACAAAATTAAATAGTACTGTAGGTTCGACCAAGCCGATAGAATTTATCGGCTTAGTCATAACCGAAAAATTCTGCTCGGCCAAAATCGATTGTCAGTGAAATTATTGTCGGTGTCGTGAATTAAGTGTCGGTGAAATGAACATGTCGGTGAAGCGTTGTGTCTACGAAATGAACTAAGATAAATCCCGTTCGTAAAACGGGTTAACCCCGATTTTACTTGCAAGTTGAATTTTTATAACCGATATATTTTCATATATATTTTTTATTTTAAATCGGGTTACTAATTTAAATATCCGATTATAACCCTAACATTTCTAACAATTTGGTTGGTCTAATATCACATGATAGAATTGAAATAATTGATGAATGAATTTTTTGGGGCACGAAAATATTTCGATGCACTTATCACGGGACTATTACAATAAGAATATTTTAGGGGATTTCTTGCAGGTGCGAAATACTGTTCCTGATAGATCGCCGGTACTGTTCCTGATAGGATAAGAAACAAATATTAATTTACATACGTTCCTGACAGGGTTCTAAAGAAGGGACTTTAAAATACTATACTACTATAGCGAAGTAATATGAATAAGTTAGGATTGGAATTCGTTTTTAAAACCTTATCAGGAACAGTACTTAAATAATGTTTTTTTTTTAACTCCATCAAGATCGGTGCCGACGATCCATCAGGAACGGTATTTTTTCCTTGCAGGTGTCTTTTAATAAAGTGTACTGTTAAATTGATTATGCTAAAGTGGGGTCACTTATACCATTTTAGAGTCGATTGAACAAGCATTCCCTTACATTTTTTTTTTTTTTTTTTACAGCTAGGGCTCTGCAAATGCCCATGTCAGGCATATTGGCATCATGTCAGTCACTAGTGCCTCATGCTGTGCTTGTGTCTATGAAAACAAAAATACCAAGCATTATTATAGGTATAGGTACCAAGTCCCAAGAGTTAATATAGGCACAGATATTAAATGCCAGGCACTAAGATGCCAAGCATTTTATATTTATATTTATATTTATATTTATATTTTACAAAGGTACGTAGTCAAATTTTTGTGTACGTGACCATGCCTATGCCGAATTTTTATGCCTATACCCCACTGTACCAAATTTTTATAAGGTTTTGTGTCTGTGTCTGGCAGGACCGAAATGTGTGGCAGGTTACGACTAATTGGTTAACATCAGCATATATTACACTATTAAACAGACTTTGATGCTAGGGAAAGGTTTGAAAAATTATTTAAATAAAACCTATACCAAAATTACGAGTAGAATGTTTTTTTCTTAGGGCATCAAGAGTAGTTTCATAGCCAAAATTTTGAAATAGAAAAGATTCTTAATTTGTCAATCAACCTGTCACACCCTGTCACACATTTTGGTCGTGCCTGTGTCCGTGTTTGTGCTCTTTATTAGGCATGGACACGAGCCTGGGTTGCATACCCATAAAAAATATCCTAGTTCTACACTATATCTAAGTATCCTATATGCTAAAGAAATTAAATCCGATTTTTATGCTTTAGATATTCTAATCCTTGTCCGATTATATGTACTACATATGAATATTTGTCTGAAAAAATGAATTGAATTTATAAAGCTGATACTCAATTCATGTATCTATCAAAATTGAGTAGTACATGTAATGTTTATGTTCCAAATATAGGTGTAACGTTGGTCACATACTTCTAATTATATATTTAAGACGTTTACCCGACAATAATCTGTACTTTTCGCTTTACCTTTTAAAAATGACAGCATTACCAAATGAATGCCTTTTTGAAATATTTAATAACCTTAAAATTTATTATAGATTCCTATTTTCATGTCTTCTAGTAAATCGACAATGGTGCAGAAATGTTGTACCAATATTATGGAATGAACCATTATTACATTTCAAAGATAAAAACCTTATAAGAGTATACCTTTTATCATTGAACACTAAAGAAAAGAAATCATTAATTAAGTTAAACATTATTCTTCCAGATGACTCGAAGCCGTTGTTTGAATACTCTGCATATACTAAAGTCGTCGATTGTGATAGTTTAGAACAAGGGATCGCAAATTGGTTTCGTTATGATGGATATAAACTTCATAACCGTATTGATTATAATTTTGATCTTAAGGTTGAAAAAATCAAAAGTTCCCTGATCGAAATGTTTTTAAGAACGAGCGAAAATATTAAATATTTAAACATTTCAAAAACAACGACAAAACTATTCGAATTTCTTTATGGAAATACCTCCGTTACTTCATTAGATCTTTCTAATATTCAACTTAGTTTCGAAAAAACACAAGTGTTTGCCGAGATTCTTTACAAAAGTACTTCTTTGACCTCTTTAAAACTGGATAATAGCGATCTCAGCCCTAAGAAAGTGAAAATGTTATCAGATGCTCTTTGTGAGAATAAAAATCTGACCACCTTATATCTTCGCTTTAATAAGCTTGGTATTGAAGATGGAAAAATATTGGCAGAAATTCTTTATAAAAATACTACTTTAACTTCTTTAGATCTTAGTCATAATCAACTTTGTTCTGAAGGTGTAAAAGCAATTGCAAAGGCACTTTATAAAAATACCACATTGACTTCTTTAGGACTTAGTGGTAATACACTTGGCTATAACGGTGGTAAATCATTGGCTGTAACTCTTGGCAAAAACACAACTCTTACATCCTTGAATTTATATGATTGTAAACTTGGTTTTGATGGCGGTAAAGTAATAGCTGAGGCTCTTCAGAAAAATATTACTTTAACTTCCTTAAATGTTGGTAATAATCAACTCGGTTCTCAAGGAGGAATAGAATTTATGAAAGCACTTTGCAATAATACTACACTGACATCCTTGGAAATTAGTTGTAATGCATTATGTCCAGAATGTGGCAAAGCATTAGTGGAAGCCCTTTACAAAAATATCGCATTAGCTTCTTTAGATGTTAGTAATAACCAAAATGCTTTTGTTTCTGGAATAAACGCATTATCAGATGCTCTTTGTAAAAATACAGTTCTGACTTCTTTGAATCTTAGTTATAACAACATTGACCCCGAAAAAGGAAAAGTATTGGTAGAAGCACTTTATAAAAACACCACTTTAACTAATCTAAATATTTCTAACAACGATCTTGGACTTGAAGGAATAAAAGCATTTGAAAAAGCTCTTCGTAAAAACACTACTTTAACTAATTTGAATCTTTCTTATAATCAACTTGGATTTGAAGAAGGAAAAATATTAGCGGAAATTCTTTGTAATAATTCTACTTTAACTAGTTTAAATATTAGTGATAATAATATAGGTTTTGAAGGAGGAAAAGTACTAGTAGAAGCACTTTGTAAAAACAGTACATTAATTAATTTTATATTTAAAAATAATCAACTTAGTTTTGAAGAAGAAAAGATTTTAGCAAAAACTTGTTATAAAAATATTAACTTAATTTTATTAACAATGAATTAAATAATTTTTTTCTAATATAGAATAATTTAATTTTAAATTTAACAATTAATTTGGTTTAATTTATAAAATTGTTTAATTTGCAAGATATAAATTAGTAAATTTATATGATTTAGTATAAATTATGTATTTTATAATACGTATATATTTTTGTATTTTAATTAAAATTAATTAAATTTATATATGAAGCAAAATTAAATAAAATATTATAAATTTAAGATTTGCTATTTACAGAAAAATACCAAATTTTAACATTAAAAAAATATTACAGCTAAAGTTGGAAGTTCGGAAGTTAGGGACCATGATCTGAAAACATAAAAACTAAAAAAAATGTACATTGAAAATTTTAAAACTCGCATTTTAAAATTTTAGCTTTCAAAATAAATAAATGAAACATTATAAAAATTTAAGGTTTACAATCATGCATTATTATCTAAAATTAAGTACTAAAGCAAGGGAACTATTGCTTTAAAGAATATATATTGAATGTTACACGATATCTATCTACATGATAGCAGAAATCGTCTGGGTGCCGTTGGGGCTCGACAGACCCGCCCTTAAGTGATGACCCTTATTGATTGTAACATCTGTCGCAGAGAAAAATATCTTTATCACAGTAGAAAGAATCCTTTATCGTAGCAGGAGAAAACATTTGCTAGTAACAATGGAAGGTAAGTTTATATATTTTCCGATATTTCTGCCTTTAGAGTTTTACCCTTTTCAATAGGGAGTCCAGTTGACTATGCCTACTTTATCTTTGATCGTGACTAGGTTTCCTATTTTATTGGCAACAGTGTGATGATTCTTTGCTGATAAGTATAATGTCCAAAAACTAATAACTTTTTTTGAATGAGATTTTGTTCTGTATTCAATCACCCAACACCCCTAATTTCGTTATCCCTAATTTCGTTATCCCTAATTTCGTTCAGGAAGTTCATGAGTCTGCCTTGGGTGGTTCCGTCCTACCAAAAAATGCAGTTTCATCTCGCCTAACATACCTGATTACATTGGGGTATATATGAGTCTCATCTCAGGAGCTTTTCAGATGGGGTTTCATCCTATCAATCACCCAACACCCTTGGTTATGCTCATAAGTGCATGGGTTTCCTCAAGTGGTTCTGTTCTTGCAATCAGAATGCATAAGCTGCAACTTAGAATTTGGAACCTTTATTTAGTCTTTATTAATTATTCTATTGTCAATAAAAAGAAAAAAATATAGACTTAATTAATGAATTGTGGAAGAAAGCCATCTCAACACAAAGAAAGAAAATTGAGACTTTATTTGAATGTTCAGCTTTAGTTGTATATAATCTTACGGAAAGTTCCCAAAATTTAGTTGGAATCCATCTGAATTCTGATCAGTTGGGCTGTAATGGATTACTTTTTCCCAAGATCACTAAAAATGTTCCTAATGAATTCATAGCTATTCATTAAGAAAAATGTCTAGCTAAAGTGGTTGGCTAGTATTGCTTAATGTCGGCTCAGCTCCAGTGCACTTCAATCTGGAATTTAGAAGACTGTTCTATAAAAATAGCAAATGTACATGATATGTCACTATGATGCAATGGAAATTCTAATGTGTTTACTCTCTTTTGTGGTTATAAGAGGAATTTACTATGTAGCTGTATGCTCAGCTTTTCAAAACGTAAGCAAGAACACCTGTTGAGAAAGAATGTATTGATACAATTAGAAAATTTAGATGGCGATTGTATGTTAAAATGCCTACGTATCAACTTCAGATACAGTGGGTGATGATAGTGATTCATGGACTTATACCATTTCAATCACCAACTTCACAATTATTTTACCCATCAAACCTCACCTTATACTCAAAAGTAGAACTATTGTAAGAAACCTCTTAGCTGATATACTCTATAATGGAAACTATCTCATTCGCGATAGAGACAATGTCTGACTTACATAAAAGTGAAAGACTTCAAAGAATTTGTAGAAGTTTGTTATTCTTACGATGCTTTATAAGTGTCTATAGAATTAAGAAATACAGTATGTTTAAAGAATTAGCAAACATTCAGATAGTATGATCATTAAGAGAACTACAATTATCTATGCATTGGCAACGAAAACTTAATGATACATTCTTTATTTGAAAAAGTAATTATATTAACTGTTAATAACTGGGATCTTTGCTAGCAATTTTTTTCTAAAAATAGATTTATTATGATTTTCTTAATAAAAATCTCGCGTAACAATGGTTTGTAAGGTCATTTTGCTAGCAAAGATCCCAACTGGTAAGTAAATTTTACAAAATTATAGGCTATAACTATTGGCTAATGATTTGATATATTCTATATTAGGCTAGACACTATTGGCTAATATTCTATATTAGGCTAGACTATATAGAATTATATTCAAAAAACCTCTTAATTAAATTGAATAGCAAAAATTACAAATCAGCATCTATTTATTATTCTTTTATTTTATTTATTTTTTTTTTGTATTAAGGTGACCTCTTTGGTCTTTTGACTTTTATTAATCACTTATCGGTATTGTGGTTCAATGAACCACTACAGG